ACGGCGCTACGGTCGTGTCGGTTTGGTCCCTTGTTTGCTATTCGTTACTATATTCACAATCCTTCCCTTCTATGTATTCCTATGGCCAAGTGCTCACTCTTGGTTTTCTAGTTGCAATGCTTTTGCGTTTTCTCTGCTGGAGAGTGGCAATAGAGCCGGAAATCTTCTGCTGATCTGCGCCTAGTTGGTCTCTAGGGACAGGTGTGGTACGCGAGGGCGTGTGCTAAAATAAGAAGAAAGAAAAGACTGGGTAAGCTGCATGAAAACTCTCTCTACAATGCAAGGTATCTCAAAATATCTTTTTGTGAAGAACTGGCTGGCAGGTTTGACTATTCGCGCAGAGTGATGCTGTAGTGTCCAGGTAATCCGCAAAACAATTACGAAGTAATCTTTAAACATGACTCCCAAGGCACTCAGCCTATCACAAGTGCTATCTCCAAGGTGCTTGCCTCCCCCCATGAATCCAAGCTAATGACCAACATCTTTGCACAAAAGAATGTGTGGGAGCCACCACGGCTGATCATCCGTACATCGTTGTGGATCTTAACTTGGTTGGAAGGCGAAGAGTGTTCTACGAAGCGCACATTTAACGGGAAAAGGGAAGCTTGTTGTGGTGTACCGCTGTAGTGGAGCTAAATTCATTACCTAAAAATCAGAAATATGCATGCTCTTGCTTGTGAAAAAATCGAGAATATGGTTGCATCAGGCCTCTGACAGCCATGGAGTTGGAACTTTTTGTCGCCGAGTTATCGTGTGGCAGCTATTAGGAAGTGGTACTTTGGGTGGGTAGATTTGGTGCAGCTTCAGACGCAAACCAGATCTGTAGCATAGACAAGTATAGCTACTGAAAATACAATACACACAATGACAGTGGACTGGTATTTGGCTTACCGTTCTCAAGTACCACAGCTAATACTACTGTGGTTGCTTTACTGCCACTTCACTATGACCATTCTGGCCGCTACTGTAGCCGCGCTATGGATCCAGCCCCTTTGGCTTCACTGTAGCCAAGTGTTCTTTGTTATATTGTCGTATCTATCCCTAGCCCTAGTCCTATGCTTTGCTATCGCCGAAGCTACAGAATACTGCAGGCGGCGCAAAAACACAGTTACACTTAATGAATTATCGGGACTAAAGCTCTAGCTTGCTTCTCTGGAGGCAGAAGCGCGCAGCTTCAAACCACTACACTTCTTGTGAGAGTCCCTGCCGTTGCATTTCCTTGCGAGGCTCTCCTCTCCTTCAAATACAGATGTTCCAAAAGATTTTTAAAAAAATTCTTGGTAATTAGTTTGTGGGCGTTATTTGATACTGGTTTCAGCGTCACGCCATGGCCCCCTGAGAGTACGTAAGATCACGGCGCGCTGGCGTGCTTGCCGTCTGGATGCCACTGGCCAGGCCCCTTTTCCGGGCTCTGAAACGTACCTCTGCGCAAGTTACAGCTTTAGTGTATATAGCTATTATGTATCATAGCGCAGTGAAGTATATTTACACCTTATACAGTTTGTAGCGTCCATTTGCATTCCGTAATGGATCCTCCTGACCGGTACGCAGGGGAAAGGCACCCCACTATGCAAAGCCTCCGTTTAGGGCCGTGGGACTCTTTGTGCCTACGGGGGTTATACTAATGTTTTGAACTGTATCAGCATGAGGAGAGTAGGAAGGCCTTGAACTAATTCTGAAGCAATTAGGTGCCTTTTACTCAAGCAAACTTCACAGAGTGCGTTACCCAGCAACCATTCAGAGTCCTCGACAATGTTCTAGCGAGTAAACAAAGGGGCACAGCGTTAGCCAACATCAATAAAATTCGAGTTTATCTTGACAATAGAATTGGGGGATGTACTGCCTGTGTCGCGCAGGAGGACCGTGCCTATTACTCTAAGCGAGGATAGCTGCCACAACGAGTCACAGTATGAGGGGGATGGTGACTGCAAAGCACTTTGCACAGGCATTCGAGTAATTCTCAGATAAGGCCTTTTAACGTGCTGTCCACCGGGCCCAGGGCTCTTTGCATGTCTTCTGATCGAAGCCCTACCCATGTTTCAGCTTTGGATACGCATTGCCCTAAGTGCTCAAGGGGCTGGGAAGTATGTGCAGTTCCCTGTAGAATCAGAGTATTCCTTGGTGCTATTCAGATGCTATCAGCAAATACATTCCCCTTTTGCCCTATCTAGACAGCACAAGCAACAGATTGCACCCCTAGGCAACTTCGCGATGCGCTTACATGTGCCTGTAAGACGCGCATCTTGTGGACCCTTTTAGGCACTTCTTGAGCAGAAAATTCTCTGCTTCACCTTAATTCCGAAAGACTTCACGCGAGCCAAAGGTCGTCTGGCTCTTTTCAAGCTGTACTGCGAATGGACTGCCAACGTGCGCTTGACGTGTCACATTAAGTGGACTCACATGAGGCACCTAGAGCTCCTGTTTTTCCGAGACACCTCCTACTGGACATATCAGATGAAGAACTGAACAGCTAGCAATGTGTTGGGTGCACTTATCCGTGCCGACACTCCCCGATTTTATTCAGTGAATGGTTGGGTTCTGTGGATGAGGGTTAGCTCCAGCTGGATGCAGCGCTCACTGTCCCTCGGTGAATTTCTAGGAACATTTTCAACCCCCTAAACTTTGGTTCGCGAATTACGAGGAAGAATCCTCGCTAATCTGCAGGCTAAAAGCTTATCGGAGTTTCTGCGAAAGGTGATCGTCGGGTCTCCTCAGTCCTGTTTTGCACGTCTCAGCATGCCACGGATGCTGAGGAGGGAAGGACAAAAGTATACGCCAAGGGGTGAGAAGGAAAATAGAATCCCATATCATACGGACTGTAGTATTCGGATGAGATTTCCTCATCAGATACTGTCTTCTCGAGAAAACCTGCAACGGCAGCTAGTGCTCTGCAGCTTCACGCGAGAGTGCTTCCAGCCGGAATCACACAGGGTCTCAGAATATGGTTGAGGCAAGTGTGCTTCCGCACACCGACGGGCGCCAATGCGACATACCTACACATATGCCGTACTATGACAACTTCGCCTTGGGCTCAACTTCAGGGAGGTTCAAATGTATGGCGGAGCCATTCTGCCACATCACAGAGGCTCGCTGCTTTCTAATAAGAGTCAGACGTCCTGTTTGAATGCTTTAAGGAGCTCCCTATCCCGAACTCGTCAATGGTTTAGTGAAAAACGGGCTTGGACCATTCCAATAGATTCATGAAGCTGAAGGCCATAGAGGAAGCGGATGAAGGCTTTCAGAACCAAGAAGTGATATCACCACCAGTGCTCATGGTGTTTTATGCACCAGCGGCAATGACGGCAAATTCCCGTATTCAGGCTTGCGAGCTACTTCCTGCTTTCGAGCAATGGAATACTCTAGAGCAATTATTACTGGCTTCGATATTTAGCTGAAGATTCTGGTTTCAGTTCATATTCAAGAACACATGCAATGCAGCGGGAGAAAGAATAATACTTTTGGGGCCATCCTGAAAGCTGCCGGGCAACTTCACATCAACAGCGAGTGCTTCGCTACACCGGAATAATGTTATTCTCATCAAGATATGGTCGTCAGGGTTTCCTAGGTCAAACGCAGGGACGATCACTACGAACTCCATTGCTGCCCTCAAGAAAGAGATCTTCTGTTGCACGGCTGCCCGCCGAACGGGCAGAGACCCTTAAAGGCTCCCCCCCTCTCGTTCTGCTCTGGCACATTTGGGGAGTCCGGCTTTCGACCATCGCGCCGAAGCAATAGGATGCTCTTAGGGGTTCGGCATGCCAACTACTCCGAGCCTTTGAGCAGCGCTGGTGCAGCTCGTGGGAGACTTCATCCTGCATTTAGCGCCTAGGGGCATAGGCCGACAGGTGAAGGAAGGATTCATCATCCGCAAACCATTATCCTTCAAGTATTTCGGCGGTTCATACTCTTAATCACGCTAATTAGGATATTCTCCTTTTGCTCCACACTTTAGGAGCCTCCTCATGGGGCAGTGTAAAGGGAAGCCATCGCTTTGCAACGCTAACAACTGGGTGGCTGCGGACGTCCGGCTAATTGCACCTCACACATTCACTGTAAGCCGGCTGACGTACAGCTACTTCCATAGCATCTGGCATAAGTACAAGTCTCCTTCACTCCCAGGCGACTGGGTCCCGTGCGGATGCGCCTCAAAGTAAAACTCTTTAACCACCTTCACACCCGGATTGTGGTGCTTAATCGGCTGTTGTCGACCTTACAGGGTCGCAGATGTCCCCATAGCACACTCATGGGCTATCATGCCCGGTACAATCAGCAGTAGCGGCCCGTGAATGACCAGGAAGACACTACATGCATACAGGATGGGCTCGTCAAGGGCTACCACTGCAGCTTGGTACCTCAGGAGAAACGGGAAAGCTTGGGGCAAGGCAGAGGCACCGCATGTGCCTAGTTGCGACCACTTCTAATATTAAGAAACTGCCCTGCCGGCGTTTGGCACTACCATTGCTAGCCGTGGGTCTAATCGTCTCATATTTCACATTGAGGCTTAGCGCAAAAAGTTGTTGTTGGTGCAACTGGAGGCTTGCGTGCTTGCTTGTATGGAGAGGCTCTAGAGTACTTAGCAAAGAGGTCCCTCGATAGATGCAATGTGAATCTCCCCCCAGGCTTGTAAACAGGCAAAAAACAAATCTTCTGTGTCGCTCTTAAACCATAAAAATATGATTACTGTCTAATCTGATAGTCACCTTTGGATCTGTTTGAATATTTCGTTGCACCATGTTGTAAATGTAACGCAAGCACAATTGTCCACTGTCGACTTGGACTGAGCGAGGCGATAGGCTTGCTAAAACTGCTTCCAAGGCCCCCAGTAAAATGCCTGCGTGGTAGCGCAGTGTGTGCCTACCCCCCTGGGGCCTGATGGCCACATGAGTGGACCACAATTTACGTATATGGCCATCATGCCCAAAGCTGCAACGTTTTCTCGCAAGCCAGAGGCAGCACCAAAAGTATTCGAAAAAGAAAGCCCGTTGCCCTGCTGGCCTTGTTTACCAGGGAGGTGTCACCGGCGTCGTGGTACAGTCGCAGCAAGACGGCGGAGTGGATGGGGATAGCGGATCGTTGACTGCAGAGGGGCAGGAGCTGTAAAAGGGCATAGCAGGGATTACATCATGCCTGCTCGTAGGCACTTGGTAAGAAGTCATCTCCTGCCGAAGTACAGAAGCCTGGCGTCCCCTGACTGCATGCGCAGCAGCTTCACTGGATGCACGTTGCGATCCTCCGCCCTGCGGAGGCTCAGGAGATCGAGACCGTGAATTCGGATATTCCACGACACTCTGCAGTGTATTCGCTGTTTGATGAAGTCTTTGTAGCAAGGAGTCCAGTTCTGCAGCCGCAAAAGCACGCAACAGCATTGCAGGCATGTGGGAACTAGAATTGCTAAGCTCTGATGTGTTCCTTCCGTGACCTATTCAAAATGGATCTGAGGATTATCGAGCGAAGCCTCTAGCCTACCGGCTTCATGCACAGCAAAACCGGTGGAGTCCAGCACCTTGGAGCCACCTAGATAGCTGCTGACATGGGGCTGTGTCTCGTGACTCAGTGTCACAGAAGGGTGCAAGATGGGTGTTTGAGTGGGGCTTTCTGCACTGTTGTGTGCGTTGCTTTGGCACATCCCCGCTAGCTCAGTCGAAGAAGCTTCGAAAGGAGACTCTAGGAAAAGGGTGTCATTAACTCCCTTATCAAGGCTTCTTGATAAGCACCCGGAGCTGTACGGGGGGTTCCTAGGGCTAGGACGCAGCAAAGCGGGGTTGGTAGATCCATAAGATAACTGAAAGGCGTCCTCATCGTCGCAAGTCTCCTGGCTTTGCAATGAAGGAACCACATGGAAATCATAAAGCTCGGGAGAGCCTGAACTCGCAGCTGCATCAGCTGCAGAAGGTGCTCCGGCTGCCCCATGACAATTTCTAAACACCGGTGGGATATAGATAAAGGGTTTCTGATCAGGGTCTTCTTTCCACATCAAAGAGCTTGGCTGCTGCTTGTCCATCAGGTCCGAAGACATATCTAGCAAGTGCTGCAGTCGAGCAGAAGCTGCTGCTGCTGCTAGTGCAGATACACGGGCGGGTTTTTCTGCATCAAAGCAATGCCTTAAGGTCAAAGTTGCCTGCTCGGCAGCAGCCTCTGCTGCTGTTGCACTGCAGGCGGCAAGAGCTGCAGCGTGAGAACGCAGTGCAGAGAAGCCTAATGCGCGCTGCTTCAAAAGCTGCACCTGTATCCATGTGGCTAGCTGCAGTAGCATCTGCATCCGTAGGAAGCATCTGCAACGCACAGGAAATATTGAGCCCAGGCAAGCACAGCGTTCTGCTAGACATCAACGATTTGACTGTGTCTACGTTTTGGTGAATAAGGAGCGAAGAGCTGCTCAGAGGTCCAATTTCATGTCCATAACATGCAGGTTATATTAACGCCATGAGACGCAAAAGGAAGGTAGGAAGTGTTTGTAAACGAGAACCTCAAGGCAGGAAGATAGAATGTGTTTTAATACAAAACCCTCAAGGCTCATCCAAGCAGCTACCGATGCCCAGCAGCTCACCGCATATTGCGGCCTGACTCATGCATCTGCTGGATCTTGGATAAAGCTTCGCGAAGCTTACGGAACCTACATCATAAGAAGGAGCATATATTTATAGGTTTTCAGGGAAGCGCTGCACCAAAGATGCATCCGGATGAGTTGTCTCTATCCACAGGTGTAAATCGATGGGCTACGCCAAAGCTGCATGCAGGTCGAGGCTAAGAGCTGCTCAATCGACAGCACATTGCTGAGCTGGCTAACAACTCTGAACTTGCATAAACGCAATAACGTACTGGGCTCTCTCCACCACAGAAGCGATGCAACGGAGCGCTTTGCGGGGGGCATCCTGAGAGAGTGGTTGCTGCCAACGTAGCCAGGCAGAGCGAATCCTTTGTAGTTGCAGCTCCTTCAGCAGTAGCCCCAACAGCCAAGCAGCCCGCATCTGAAAGGCACAACAAACGCCGCAGCAGCAGTTGCATAGCATGGTTACACTGCGCCAGTGACTGAACTTCTCAAGCACGATACAGCCAAGGGGCGACGTGAACACAAACGTGTTGAAGGCGCATGAAGGGATTCTTACCTTTTGTCTGTACAGTTCTCGATGGTGCAGTAAGTTGTTCCGTAGGCTCGAGAATGCATCGTGCATCAGCTTGTGTTGCTTTGCTCGCAGCAACAGCACGAGCAAGTGAGCGCACCGGAGGCGCCGCTTGTCCTCCTGAACCTTCGCGCGCCAACTGCAGAATGCCCAGGAGAGTTGCTGCTGTAGAAACTGCTGCAGAGACATGCCAAGGATCATGGCACCTCGCTGAAGCGGAATTCGACTCACTGACACCAGTAAGCGCTCATTCACCTGCAAAGCACATCGTTAACCAAAAAACAAAGACTTATTTCTACAGCGAGCACCGGGATGGAGTTCACTGGGCATAACGTGTATACTACGCCACTTTCCCGACACCTAGGCCCTACTGATGCATTGCTCCAATGCAGCTGACGTGACACCTGGGAGAAAAAAGATTGCTTGTCTACAGACCAAATCTCCTAAAGTGGACACAAGGCGTGAACTTTACCTGCTGCATGTTGCTACAGATGCGGGATTTCTCTGCTAACTTTGCTACCGCCGTGTGGTGCTGCAGCTGACGCAGAGAGCTTCGCATTCGGGCTCTTATGCAGAGGCACACAAGCAAGAGAGCCTTCTGGCTATCCACGTAGCCGGCCCTCTGCTGCGAGGAAACGTGCAGCATCAGTTGATGCCAGCCCCATTTCAGGCGCTGCAGACGCATGTGCTGCAAGAGCTGCTGCAAAGCACGCTGCTGCAGCCGCCGATGTAGGACCGCCTTGCGCATCTTCATGAGTGCGGCTTGCAAGCGGCGGTGTTGTAGACGCTGCAATGTGTAGTAGAGCTGCTGCGCTCGTCCTTTTTCCGTCTGCTTTTTCACTGCCTCTCCGAGGTGGAAGGAACGCAGCCGCCTTAGAGCACCATGCAGTTGCCTCTCGAAAAGACGCTCTAGGGTGTACTTCAGGAGCTGTCGGCCTACCTCTAGGCGATGCGTCGCCATCTGAAGGTGCCCTGCTGCCAGCGTAGCAACCACAGCTGCTGCTTGCTGCTGTTGGTTCTGCACCAGCGCATGCAGCCGCAGACCCTGCATGGCCCACGCCTGGTCTTGCCTGCTGCGAAGTCGCAGCCACTGCTGCAGCAGTAAGGCCCCTCGAGACACACCCGCCATGCGTCTCTCTGCATTTGCTGTAGCTGCCGCTGCGGCTGAGCGGAGACGCATGAAGACTTCCCAGGCATTCCGACGCGCCGACTCCCTCACAATGGCAGCCAGCTGACTCAGAAACAGGCTGCGTGTCGCTGAATGTAGCTGCTTCTGCAGAAGGCTTAGCTGTTGCTGACAGGGAGGCCTGTACAAAAAGTCTGGAACGGAAGGGCGTGACCTGCGTAGCAACGCGAAGCAGCAACAACGTTCTCTCTTTGTGGGTGTGGCTGCATTGAACGTAGATATGCGCCAGCTTACTATCGGAGCTGCACGCTGCCGCAGGTGTTGCTTTTAAAGAACTCATGGAATTGCCATACCGCCACTTGTCAGCCAAGTACAAGATATGCTTCAGGAGGGTGTCTCGCTCAGTCAAGCTCTGCAGACCAATAAGCACCGTCCTTGCTCCCTTGGGCTTCTTGGTGTCTTCGCCCGCTTGTGTTTTCGCTGCCGCAGCTGCTGACGCAACAAACTTGATGCGATACGGCGCCTTGCCCTTGGCTGCTGCTGAAGCAGAGACTCTGCCCTTGCCGTCTACTGCCCATGCGGACGCGATGGACGCGAGGGGGACCAACAAAGTCACTTCAAGGGGTTCCGTGCTGCTGCAAAACAAGAGCAAATTTTGATGTATCAGGAGGTCTTCCTCAAGCCACCGCGGAGGCAGCAGCCCTCTGAAACGCCACACCCGAGTCTGAAAAAACCATGGCGCAGACACACACCCACACATAGACACACACCCACACATAGACACACATACACATACGCACACATACACACACACACACATAGACACACACACACACACACACATACACACACATACATACACACACACATATACATACACACACATACACATAAACGCACATACATACACACACATACACATACGCACACATACACATACACATAAACACACATACACACACATACACACACATAGACACACACACACATACACACACATACATACACACACACACATATACATACACACACATACACATAAACGCACATGCATACACACACATACACATACGCACACATACACATGCACATAAACACACATACACAGTCAAGGCTAATAGGTGGAATGTTCTGCTGTGAATGTTGTGCTGTGCCCCCCGCATCGACGACAGCAGCATGCGGAAATCCACACCACTGCTCGCGACACTACAGCCAGTAGGACATAGACCTCACTGCTCACTCACCCTCAACGTTGTTTGGCTCGGAGATGGCAGCAAAAGGAGGGCACCGAGACTCCGGGCCTCTAGAAACGCATAAGAAGGAGACGATATAACAGGCAGCATATCAGCCATGATGCGTTGTTGTTGTTGCTGCTGCTGCTTCTGCGAAAACAAAGAACTGTCCGTAAAAGTCGCGCCGTCGGAGGCAAAGGCAGTGCCAGCTGTGGAATCAAACCGAATGTGCCTTTTAGACTCTTCCGTGGTACTTCGATTCTCCTTCGAGCCTTCGCTGCCCCTGAGGGTTCGGGGGGAAGGCGGCAGCTTTAGACTGAGCTCGTCCGACTCTGAGCAGGCACTGCTTTCGAACTCCGCAGGTGCACAGGCTTCCCTGGCAGAGGAAAAGACAGGACGTGAGGCACCATGAGCAGCAACTTCGACAAAGTGTAGCTGGCGCTCTGCAGCGAGTGGCGGCGGCTGCAGAGAAGAAATGCACGAAATGGAGCTTCTGCAAGGGGTTGTCACTGTTTCGCTGTCGTCCGTCTTGCTGCAAGCTAAGCTGCTGATGCGGCTGCTGCGCCCACTGAAGCACATGCTTTTGCTCGCAGCGCTGGGGTTCTGGTTGCTGCTCGCGCTCCTGGCGCTGCTCACGCTGCTACTTCTGCTGCAAGGCCGTGCAGTGTGCCTGGCCACTGCACAGGGATCTCCTGAGGGAGTGTCTGCGGAGACAGCAGCAGCAACCGCGGCTACGGCGCTTGCCACTGCAACCGCCCTTTTCGCAGCAGCAGCTGCTGCTTGTTTGCCGTTCTGAAGCAGCACAGGGGCGTTGGTGCTGATCTGTTGAGCCAAAGAAGCCACACTGCCCAAGGCAGACTTCCGGATAGACGAAAAGGAGGGGTGACGAAGCCTCGAGCGTTGCTCCGTGAATGCAGAAGCCTTCCCCTCCCGTTCCGGTGCTTCCGCTTTGTGCGGTGCAGCAGTTGCAGTGAGAGGCCTAGAGGACCTCGAAGGAATCACGTGCATCCCGCCGTCTGGAGTGTTGCATGCGCCATTTGTGCGGGCTGCAGCGAATGCGCTGTTTGCACCTGGTGACGATGTTGCTAGTGCTGATACTGAAGGTAGTGGCCGTGATGGTGATAGCTCTAGTGGGCCCCTTCTGGCAGGCTGGAATCCTCGCTGTCTTCGGGGGCTTAAAGGTGTGCGCTCCTCTGCCGCTAAAGCAGCCTTAGCCAAGGCTGAGGAAGCGTCGTCTTCGCTGCTCGAGAAGGCTTCCCTGGTGTGAAACTTTTCCCCACGGGCAGCTCCCGGGAGGCTGACAGGGCTAGTCGGGGGCAAGCTGCACGCGGCACTGCTCCTGTTGAGGCTACAATACGATGTCAAGGTCCCACTGACGGCATCAGCAGCCACTTCTGCCGAGTGTAGCTGGACATGCGAGCGCCTCTGCCTAGGGCTGTGCAGCATGGAAGTCGAGGTGACGGTGGCACTCCAGGGGATGCGGCGACTAGGGGAGCAGCGCAGTGCAACACTGGACCGTCTGAGAGCCTCTAGAGCGACGTCGTAAGCACTTTTGCGGTGATTAAGATGCCTTGCAGCGCTGCTGCCGAGCACTAGCTGCTGGGCTGCCGAGGGAGCGGTTGGATGGAGGCCAGCGGATCTGCGCGGGGGGGGCAGGGGCACTCGATGCACCGCCGTGTCGCTCCTTGTGTTGCTAACGGGTGCACATGCCGCCGCAGATGCCGAGTGTACAAGGACTGCATGTGCTTGATCATCCTGTGCTGTATGAGCCGCTTTCAGACCACAGACGACAAGGTACGAGTCTTCTTCCCCTCCTGCCTTGACTGCAGGGGTGCCCTCGAACAAACCCTCTTCTCCCCAGGCGGCCATGGTCTGTGATTCTGCCTTCCGTTTAGCGCTCAAAGAGCTTCAGGGGTTCTGTATGGTCCGGAGCGCTGGGCTGTCGCAGCGTCGATTGCCAGCACACTTCCTACGGGCGTGAAGCGAGCTCCGAAGCCTCGGGACTCTCAGAATTGATGCAATGCCAAGAATTTTGAATTTTTCATTCGAGATCAAAGTCCATTCGGCAACAAGTCTCCGCAGAGAGAGCAGCAAGCCGTCGGCGGCGTAGTATGGCTCAGCTGCTCTCTCGGCGCTGCAGCCGCCTGTGCCGCTCCCCGCTCCGCATGAAAAAGCAGAGGGATCTGCTGATATCCGAATTGGCAATTAGAGTGACGTTGACTGGTCATTGGAATTCCGAGAGCGCAAATCTGAATTGGGGTGCAGGCCGCTGCTGCCGCTGCTGCTGCTGCTGGCGCGAGTCGGGGCTCCCTCCCTTCCCATGGGCTGCACCAGGAGACTGGCCTGAGATCTTCGCTCGCGTTGCATCTCTCTGGAGCTTGTCATTTGTTGAAACGTGGGAGAAAGACTATTTCTGTGAGCCAAGGAGGGGCTCGAAATGGGCAGGGGACCCACGCAGCAGCGGGTGGCCGCTGCGTTTTGCTGCATCTGCGCAAGCGCCGTACAATCGACGGGGAGACAGGCGTCGAGTGAACGGCAATTTTGCAAGACACCGGATGCGTACAGCTTCAATGCTTTTCCGTGAGCTGATGGATTGCAGGCAGAAATGGTGGTTTGCCCTAATTTTCCCTCGGATGGTTAAGGAGTCTCCCGCCGTTTGTGCGTTTGGGCCGCTCTTGTTTGTCTGTCCCCGGTACAGAAGTCGGCCAGGGGCTGCAGTTTCGTCTCGTTTGCTAGTGTATCTGCCACTTCCCATGGTGTATAGGGTCACCAAATGTGGCCTTACCCACGAATTGTGTCTTCTTGGCTTTGCAATGGTCGCCTAATGCCGTTTTGGAGAAAGTGCACAGAGGCCTGCTGTCCTCATCGGGAGCTCAGCATGCGTCTTCCTGGCCTGTTACAATACATGCAACTTGAAATCCAAAGCTGTGTAAACCTAATAGGGTCTTTTTCGTCTAAAATGGATCATACATGTGATCGCCCTGAGGTAAGCGTAATGCGCAGCCACTACCTCTCACAACCAGGGTAACAATGAACGAAAGCAATGCTCTTGACTTCAGGGAAAACGGCGAAAAGTGCAGCACGTAGGGAAAACATAGAGATGACAAAGACTGAAATGCTGTAGAAAAAGAATAATCAGTGCTCACTGGTCCGTATAAGTAGTACGATGCTACTGCGTACCGTGCTCAAGTCTTGGTCACCCGACAGTTGATCCCTCTAAGGGGCACTTAAGCCTAGAATTTTGAGGAGAAAAAAATGGCTTTTGGCCACCGCGCATTTATACCAAGGGATCCCCCAACGAGAAAGGGCTCAACTGGGGACTGCAGTGACGCACACACATAATGAGGAAACCTTTAAAGACCTAAAGCTTCCCATAGGAGTAATGGCGAGACGATGCTTGCCGCCATTCAAAATACAGCACAAGACATTGCGATATCCTGTATCCTCGTGGCTTGTTCAATATTGAAAAAGGAGGATTATACATTTTAAAGGCAAACGGGGAGCTTTGCTTTGGGCATTGCTAATTGGTTCGCTACTCATAAACTCGCTTCAGCTGCCTTTGTCTTCTGTTTCTACACATCGAATACGCTACTGAGAATGTAAGCTTTTGTAGTTGACATCATGTGGCATTTTTACAGGATACCATAATGTCGTTGCGCTGTTGGTGCCCTCAGCGTCGCAAGCCCTTGTTCTTTTAGATGTTTTCCTGTCCTTGCCTGAATCGGTGTTTGTGTAGTGCTAGTATACAATCCATATCTCTGTGTACTACTTTGGCGTCTTGCGTATATCCCATAGACTGCATAAATATTCTCCAATTCAAAGCGCTCAACTGTCCTAGCTGCTAATATCCTTCGTTAGCCACTCTTACTTTGTAGCATCATCGCTTGCTTTAGTCATACTCTGGGTACCTGACTCGGCAGTGTGCAAGGAGATTCATGAAAAGAACGTCTCTGAATAGTCGAAAGAAGGCATTTTAGCACATTTGGAAACGAATCGGAGAGAGCTGGCCGCCCGATGAAAGGCGCGATTTAGGGCGCCCTATGCGCATGATGGTCCTGGCCAAAGATAAGTTACTGAAGAAAAACGATTCATGAGAATGTATCCACCAGCAGTTGGTTTCTTCGTAGTCGATATCGGTTTGTGCTGAAAATTAAGAGACTGGTTTTAACATTTGTTTTGTATCGAAAACTTGTGGATAAGATGCCAGTGCTCCGAATCCGAGAAAAATTGTATAAATAGAAGTTCATTTGTCAACTTAGCAAACGCGGCACTACGGGCTTGCAATATGAGGTTTTATGGCTACAGCCATCACGAGCAAAGCAGAAGCATACGTGTGAATGATGAAGAAGCTGCAATGAAAAAAGCCATAAAACACGTGATGGACGGTACAAGAAGTATTATCACACACTTTGTCACTGTTCCTCAATCGTGAATGTCATAGTACAACAGCAGGAAGCCGCAGTTCGCTAGAAGGTTAATTGGCTCTTGCAGGCTTCCACTGAGCATTTTGTCAAGGGGCATGCGATCCGCTTGACTAGTCGGTCTAATCATTGAGTCGACTATTTGGTCTTTTCGGCAAAGCAGCAGCATGTAGATACCAACACAAAAGATGAGATTACTAGTTGGCTCAGCTCACCTGCCTACAGCTTGTAGTGCAACAATTAGGCTATACATCAGCCATGCTCTTCCAGGTTATTACGTATTCTTTTTCCCACTAGAAAAGCAAAAGCTGTTCACCCCCGTTCTCCCGGTCGCTGTAAGTTCTTCTGCTGGTGGCTAGTGACAAAGGGGTGCAGGTACAAGCTGTGGAAGGAGAAGCTTATGAAGAGAGCATTAGGACCCGTGTTTCTCGGCGGGCTACGTCTTTTGTACCTCATAGCTACCAGAAAGCGTGGCCTAACAAGGAGTTTGCCAATCAAACACAGGAACAAGCCAATAAATACATGAGTAATGAGAAGATAGATTGCTCGTATCACCCCAAGATAAAACAGGCAGCTGAACTGGCACCAGAAAGAACGTGTTCACATAGAAATAAAGACCCACAACTAAGGAGGCACTATAACAGAGAAGACAAGCAACGCGACAGGTATGCATACAGCTAAGCAGGTAAACAGGCAACCAGAGTATAAACTAGACATACCCACAGCTACTAGAAACATACTATCCGACAGATGCAGGCATACAAATATTTACAACATACGTTCAAAACGGTGAGGCCCAACGTAGGGAAAGTGGAGAGAGAGCCAGTGTTCAACATTTGGACATACTGGGTGCAAAGCAGTGGAACAGGCGAGAATCATAGAACGCAGCAAAAGGCTCCCCCAGAGCCTCCAAGCAGTACAAGGGAAAGCAGTATTGCTTGCTTACTTGTCAGACGATACAATGGCAACCATGACGACTATAGTTACCCGCGCATGGCTTCATCTGCAGCAAACAAGTGGCGTCAGAGTGACGCAGGCCAGAAAGAGAGAAATCATTACAAACCAGTTGCTGTTTTTACAGGAAACAGAGCCAGCTCTCTCCTTGTGTTCCCTGCTTTTGAAAGGAGGTTGGCAACATTTGATATTATTTGGCTGAGCTTACATTTGTCTATCTAGAATCGTGTACTCTGGAATGTCTTAGCTACAATTCTTAGCGACGCATGTCCTAGGTGCTGCTTTGTAGGGTACGGTAATATTACTGTTATTCCCAAAACATGGCACTAGGAGCTCAGCTAAAATGTGTGGTTAGGACTTATTTTGCTGTTGGGGTTGCCTTAAAGCCTCTTTATGCTAGGCCAACACTTAACTCCAGTAAGGTAGGGGCTCAGGCAGTGTCTTGCTAGAGTAAAAGTAACACGTGCATCTCCAGCTCGGATTCAGGCTGAACACGCCGCTCATGCAGATCTGAAGAAAACGTAGCAGTGAATAAATAGTTTATGATTGCTTTATTAGATCTAACATCCACCACCCCAAAGGATTGTATTATAGGTGCTTCAGAACTGAGGATAGTCGTTTGAAAGCAGCTCAAGTGGTAGCAGAAGGATTTTTCATTCAATGAGGAGCCAACACAAACAGTGACGTGCAAACCACCCGTCCCCGGAGATCTATATGTTGCGCTTCTTCTAGTAGGCCAGCCTATGCACAATAATATACAGCTGGTATACCGGTGTAATACATAGCGTTCACGATTTAGTTATTTATCAGCTCAAGGTCTAAATGTTCGTGTTGCTGGTGAGCTACATTTAAGCGGTTGTTACTACACCAATTATAGTGTGAGAATTGGCTAATTGGTTTCGGTGCTCGCATACCTTATTTGTTGCAGAGTGCAGTCAGCAAGATACAGCAGGACTCATTGTTGTTTACCCGTACGCTTGATGTTCTGTGTAGTACTGTGTGAGTGCTCGGAGCCCGATGGGGTGTAGTTGCGCCCACTGTGGCTGTGCCCCTCCTCTAATGCCGAAGCTCGAGGGGATATGATCTGGAGGGGAGAAAGCTTATATTTGAAGAACATTCAGCAACTTTCTATCAAGTTTTGTGCTGAATTTGGGGTTAAGGATGTAGCCCGATAGAGAATTTAAGTAGAGTGTTGCACTTATGTTCTTGGCTGTATGTAGAACCACATACTTTAGTAGGCTGTCTGACGCGGAACCAATGCAGCAAACCTGACTCTAATTTGCCATCTCATGCTCAAGAGCCACCAGCAGCAGCGATTTGCACAAGGACCCGTAGTGCAGAGAGAGTTCTTATGCCTTCAACAACAATGCCGCGTTCACTAGACGGCCCAGCAGAGCCTCGTTTGCTGGCTCTTTTTTCACAGAAAATGCATCATTCACTGCTTGATTGTCCTGAAGCAAGTGAGTGAGGTAAATCGTGAAGGTGTTCTAAGTTGTGCGTGCTTTTTCTTGGACTTTAGCTCAACGGACGGCATGCTACACATGGTTTGGTGCTCGAAGAAAGGAGGGAGTGGAATGCAGCCTAACAGTGACAAGTGTACATCTATGCGCTCAAAATATCTGTCAGGTGTCCCGCTGGAATGTGCATGAGCTAATTCGGCAGTCTCACCATCCACTCAGGTACACCGTGTTCTACGTGTTCCCTATTAATAAGCATTGCTTGAATCGGCATCAAGCTAAAAGAAGAGAATAGTTAAATACCCGAAATAGGGTTCCTAGAAGCACGCCTTTACTGTAGAAGACGATTAATGATCATCAATCTGACGGGGCCCTTGGGACATGAGGAGACGGCAACGACGGGAGCGATGGCGTGTCTTTTCCGTAATCCTTCAAGAGGTATACTTTATTTAGAAAAGAATTCTCTTTGAACATCTAAACACAGGATGCGTGTATAATCTTCCTGCGCTTTTCGCCGAGATCGATGCCGCCAGCCTAGTAGGCATCGAACGGCGTGTGTTGAGCTTCTACGCTGGGCCTGCGGTTTCCTCTGCCCTCCATGCGTCTAGTTGTTTTAATGTACAGTATTTCTTCACCTCTAAAGGAAGGGGGGCCTAGACCTCAGGCGACGCCACCTGGTCCACCTTTTGCTATCAACAGCCGTGGCATAAGCGCTGCCCCCTAACGCAGCATGAGCACGAACACAGCAATAAGTCCGGTCCATATGGGTCGACTGCGACTCTGTGGCCAAGCCTGTCGCTTTTCTCCATTCTCTGAGGATCTGCTGGCCGTCGCTTCCTCTCAGCTGTTTGGCATGGCAGGCCCCGGATCTCTGGAAATATTTTCCTTGGACCCGGCTATTCATATCACATCTCGAGCGCCAACAGCTGACACCGTGACTCTTCCTTTGGGTTCGCACGCTGACGTACAGGCCCGACCCGGAGAGGTAGTACAGCCAAAAAGAGTTGCAGTTTTGCACCACCAGGAGTCAGTCAACGATGTGGCGTGGTCGGAGCGATGCGCACAGACTTTGGTAGGTGGGGGTGGTGGTGGACGCATTACTATTTGGCGTTTGTCTGACCAGAAAGCCGCTTTTTCTGGGATTCAGAATACAGGCAATGAATTTGGGGGTTTCTCCGTTGGGGAGCTCAAGGGCCATACGCGGGATGTTACTAGCCTAAGTTGGAGTTGTGTAGAAAAACGTATATTGGCGTCTACCGCCATAGATGGCCACTTGAGAGTATGGGATATGCAGAAGTGCTCGTTGCTTCGGGTTCTTCAGCATAGCCATGCGCCAGCAACATGTTCTTGCGTCACTTCACCAGTTGATGCTGGACTCATCGCGTCAGTGGGGGCAAATGGCCGTCTATCCGTTCACGATCTACGGAACCCTTCTCCGGGCACGACCCGAAATATGGCCGCGTGGAGTGTCGTGGCTCACCCTTGTGAAGTGCTGTCTGTGGACTGGGTAAAGCACCGCCCGTGGCAGCTCTTAACAGGCGCAGCCGACGGCACTATAGCCCTGTGGGATTTGCGTAAGAGCTCTAGCGTCCCGAGGGGTGATTTTTCAGACGCTAATGTTGCAACCGGCTGTCGTCTATCGAGCACGCAAGCGCACCAGCTAGCCGTGAGGCGGGTGGTGTCTCACCCCTTCAACGCACAGCGATTTGCATCCTGTTCCTATGACATGCAAGTTAAGATCTGGGACTGTGATGAGGGCACAAGCCTTTCCATGGTTACTAGGTCTGAAGGTCAACCAGAGTGTCCAAGTGGAGTGCCCTCCCCGTTTGTTGGGGGCAGTGGCTGGGTGCGTCTATGTGCGTGCTACGACCATCACCGCGAGTTCATCTTGGGGTTGGACTGGTCGACTTTTAAGTGTGGCGTCATTGCATCCACTAGCTGGGACCGCAGTTTATGCGTTTGGAACGCAGATACAGGCCCGGCGCCACCCCAGGTCCCCAAGAGACCGCTTTTCTTGAGCATGAAAGTTTCTAAATAGGTTGTAACGCAAAGAATAGGAACGAATGCGCTATAAACGGTGCAATACAATATCCCTTACATTACGGGCCCATCAATCAGCCTGAAGGTTGCGGACAACGAGCACACTCTGCTTGCCTAGTTCTGGCCTTCTCAGTGTCTGGTTCCACAGAACTGCTTAATATTAACAGCTGCATAAGCGTAGCCTCGAAACAAAGACACGAATTAGCTAGTCTGCACTTGATGTGCCTCGCCACTAGTTCTGAGGCAAGGGGACGTCAATGGCTGACTGGAATTTTCGCCCGGTAAAATGGAAAGATGTTGTGGCCAGCGAAGGCTACAGGATTTTCCCCAGCGAAGTAAAAATTTTGGGACACTAGTTGCTCAGTGCTTACCTCCTCGAGGATATGTTACAGAGTGAGCACTCCAAGCATAAGAAATGTATGTCCGCTAGTAGATGTGGCATGGACAATCAGCGTATTTATTTGTTTAGCGTTGCCCATGACAGTCCTTGCGGCGTTGTTGCACTGCATTGCTTCCAGTGGCATGTTTCATCTAATCGAGGTGTACATTTAACTTCTTTTTCGCATTATTGAAAACTGTCAACGGTGGTGCAATATGTCACTGCGTGTTTCCTATATTACCCAAGTAAACACAGAAGAGGATATATGAAAACCAAGTCAACCTTGAACTGAACTAGGAGCAAGCGCAGGCCCGCCTTAGTAGAACCAATGCGAGCCGTTTTCTGCTAGTTCACTGGTTGCTATGACTGTGCTTTCGTCTTCTACATTCAACTAATTCAGTGCTGCCAAAATGCATATTTATAAAGATGTATGTATATAATTGTTTGAATCTGCTCGCTGGCCTTGCGACTCGTAATGCATCCTCAGGTGGCAAGACAGTGCGGAAAGCCCGATGTCCTATATGGCACAAACGTGTAGCATGGTGCACTTTTAATTGTCCTACTGTTGCTTGCAAGCCGGCGACCTCAAGGCAGACCAATGGCTCTACTCATCTGATAGACAAAGTTCGTTGCTGAGCAAGTTTTAAACGGCAACAGATGGAGTCAGGCAATAACAATGATGTTGCAAGCCTCCGCTCACTGCTGTTTGCGAGATGCAGCGTTCATACTGCCCAAGATCACTGCCTGTGAACATGCATATCTGTCCCTCTGGATTGCTTGGGCTGTCCGCTTTTCCTCGTTATGAGTTGCGCAAGGCGGCTTCCAAGGCGCTTGCAAGTTTTACCTAAATGAGTACTGCGCCATCGCCAGTGCAAGAACAAAGGTTTGATTCTCAGAATATCTCCAGACCGTTGCTTTACGCGTTCTGGCTTCCGCGATTTTGTTATTACGGGGGAAAGCAGCAGCAGGACTGTTTACTTGATGACCCCGACGTACTACGCACGCATGGTCGTAGTGTTCTAGGGGTAGCAGCATTACAATGATTTTAGGTTGCCTCGCTGCTCACACAGTCTTTGCCAGCTTTTAATAGACTTAATGAGTCATGTTGAAAAAACAATAGCTGGTATCGAACTATTTTTTGCATTCCTGCTTATTTGTTTCCTTCCTTTGGACGGGCACCCCCGCATCGGCTTGAGGCACAGAGCGGAAGTGAAGCCATGATCAAGGCTTCATGCAGGAGTGGTAATGCTTTATTTAGCCCTCTCCATGCTTAAATTATATCTGCTTTACAGGTTCGAAGAAGCTCCACCAGCGAAAGCTGAAGGTGTTGGACGGTGCTGGATGACGTGTGGTCTGAAGGTGGTCCGTCGTGGACATGGAAATCGATGGCCCTGCATTGCTGAGCTAGCTGTCTCAATATATACAGCAGATAATATTAAATGAAGGCTTCACAGGCAATTATTATAAGTCATTCAAGATTTATGGACGAGAACTCGCCAGAAAAGAGAAGATAGCCTCGTAGCATCAGACCGCTAAGGGCTAGCTCACCATCGCTGCCCATCCAGGTCACCAGCGGCCTGGCGTGTGCTGTGAAGGCATAAAAATCTGGTTTAGATCCTAGACATTCTTCGTTAGTTTTGTTTTTTGACATTGGTCCTGTGTTTTGTGTCAAGTCTGTTCTTTTGATCTCTCTCCTCTCGAGCACAATGGCACCGATGATCAGGGCGGTAGCAGTTTGCTTTGTGGCACTCTGCGGATTACGAGCAACAGGAACTTCTGGCGCGGCGGCAACAACTGAAGCAGCAGGCGATGGTACGATTTTCGTTTTTCACTTGCACTATTTAAAAGCATGCTTTTGGCCTTTCAAGGGCTTGTTCAAGATCTTCAAACCTCACCCGCCAGTGCAGTATGGCCTTTTTTGATCTGCCTGTGGGCGAGCTCTACTGTGTTTACACTATTCTTTGCTTTGCTGCTGCAGCTCTTTACCTGCTCCTTAATCTTGCACGTAATGGGAAGCTTCCAGTAAGGATTGAGACCTTAAAGAAGAGTGAAAGCCTGGTCTCAACCGTTACCAGCGCTTTGCCTTCACTCGTTGGGGACGACCAGTGTGCAAACGCTGGGAGCATCACTGTCCAAACCGTAAGCTGTTCAGCGAATATCGCAGAACTTTTGCGATGCCACGCGCTAAATTTTTGAGTTCTTCAAAATTTGGAGCAACTAGAATTCACCCCTCCCACCCGTGTAAAAGTTAGATAAGGTAGGATCACATGCCCGTCAGATACTCAGAAAGTCAAAGAAGGTAGAATCGTATGCGCTGACGTCTTCAGGCGGAGGGGTTCTTTGTCAGTTACACCGGTCAGAGCCCTAACTACGCCGATCTGATCCAGACCGCACTGACCGCTGGCCTTCAGAAGTTGGCGTGAGTCTGAAGCATGCCTGTGGGCTCAAAGAATTATAGCTGGCTCGCGATTGAGTGTAATGTATATGAATGTCTCGCTGATGTGATTTTTCTGCAGCGCATATCCATCGGACAAATGGGGTAGCGGGAGTTGGTCCACCGACAAGGAGGTTGGGCTTCTAGGATACCTTTTGTGGCATGACAGCACTGAAGTTGGATGTGTTGCATCAAAGTGCGCCGCTGGAACAAACGTCACGCTGTGCCGTTTCAAGCCAACTGCGGCTTCGGGGCAATTCCCATTCAGGTTCGTTTTTCTGGGGGGGATTGGTCAGTTCATTTTGTTTTAGCGTCTCCTGTTTAGCCATGCATGCCAGGAATGTGGATGTTCACTTGTAAGGTTTTTTCAATGCAGACTGTCTTGATGGATGCACTGAATGTTTTCGCAGCGAGGAGTACTATAATGGTCTCAAAGCACGCACCACCTCTCTGGCGGACCTGACCGCAGATGACCTGGACACCAGCAGCGGAGTGACTGTGCCTTCTGTTCTTTTTGGTGGTCTTGTTGCCATGCTAGCTTTGGCATCCGTTTGAGTGCTCTCAAGCAGCACTGGAAACAGGATGAATTGCCACGTTCTCGTGCTGCACAGCCCCTGGGGATATTGGGTGCGTGTTGGTACCTGCGCTTACAGAGACTCGTTGTTCACAGGGACCTTTGCTGTGGAAAACTTTGACTTCTCGACAGACTGAGCACGCTTAGCTTAATGCACGACATGTGCAGCAGGGGAACTGATATCCCGCCATATTGCGTCGCATGAACTGGAGTGTCGAATTCTCTAGAAAATGGACTAAATCGGCATTCTGAAACCGTTTGTTCCAGCATATTTGATCAAGAATGAACGCAGCCGATTTAATTATATGACCGCATTCGTTGTTTGAAATGTAGGGGCAGTCTAGTACGAGGTACATATGATGGTATCTGTTGCTCTGCTGTGCAATGGATCAGTTCACTTGCTCGTTTAAAATATCGGAGTAGGCCGCAGTTGCTCGTCATTGGCTTTAGGGATTGGCCCCATAGACACATTGTGTCGCGGTGAAACGGGTGTTACTCCTCCAGTGCCTCGTCATGGCTTATGGAATTTAGGATCACCGGGGTCCCTTAATGAAGCTTATGCAGTAGTTTTCTTCTGCCTGAATGGCCGCTATTAGCGCTGTCCAAGTTACTTGAAACTTGGGTGCACTTCACTTCAAAGAGCTGTCACACTCTCATCCCCTGGAGTGCCCTCTGAGCGAAGATAGTTGCATTGCTGTTCGCGTTTTTGTCAACACCCCCCAAATGATTTAATGACGGCAAGCACAACCCAAACTTCAACGCTGAATCCCACGGGATACGTAATTTTTGTAAGTACTTGGGGTCGGTCGAGTTTCTAATGCAAGTTTCATTGCTGGAATCGATGAATTACTACGCATCTGTAGCGCAGGTAGTATCTACAGGCTTTCTGCTCTCCTCCCATCAGTCCCCACGCAGTGAATGGCCGTGTTTTCAACATGTTCTTCCTGTCACTCACAAATTTCGTCTGCCAACAAAGCTTGATACGCGTGAGCGGCCTTACTGGGCTTGCCAGACGTATCGGCCTACTGACTTCAAAAACACGGCTGTGGCGTGAGCACATGTTGTCTTTTGTTAACAATTGAGCTCTCCTTTGGTAGTCCTTGATCGCCTTCAATAAGAATAAACATAAAGCGCTGGGCCGTCCAGGCGTGCAAGTAGGAGGCACACTTCATGCTGGCTACTACACGGTGATCGTAAATGCTCAAATGGTACAACTTCACATTGAACCATGAGCTAGCAAGCTTCGAAAGTTGAGCGAATATCCTTGACAGTTTGCAGCATTTGTTCCTCTTTTCCATGAGCAGTCATCGTACTCAAAGTCGAAATATATGTCTTGAGAATCGGATATATCTGTTGGTGCCACGCGCCTCCTAAGCAGAACTGTACATGCCACTGTATGCAATTCTTAGGGGCACTACACGATTCTAGAGACGTATCATGCACTAATGTGATCCGAAGTAGCTAGCTGTTCATCGTCACTATTCTTCTGTGATACCCGATTGCCATCTGTTTCCATAACCTGTACTCGACTCTATGTTTCTCAGCTGCACCAACATAGCACGCCGTACCCTAATGTCGGCGGAGTTGAAGGGCAGCAATATGACCTAATGCTGTGATATTTTGTCATGTGCATGCAGTAAAGCGGATCATCTGCTCACGCCAAAATGTATTTGCAGTGCCCTACACTTGCTAGCACTTTGCATATCATTAGAACACAGATTATAGAGCATGCGCAGCTGTGTACCTCTGATGCTTGACCATAGGGGCGGGCTGTCACCCCAACCGCAGTGGATTCGTTGCCACTTTCTCGAGTACCAGCATACACTCACAACGTTACTTTTACAACTAGATTCAAGCTCAACAGGGCGAATCTGACGCCTATGCTGACCAATTCAAAGAAATACTCTACGTGCTCTATTGACACTTTTCTGGAACTCCAATGAACTTGCGTCAGCCAGAAAGTAAACTGAAGCTCCGTAGCGCTCAAATTAATGAGGCATTTAGCATACGTATATATACGCATATATAGTCTCCAGCTACTTGCTTGAGTGCTAAGCACTCTTGGCGAGCAGTAGTTTAGGAGTCTCCGCTTGTTGAATCTACTGATTAGACCCTAAAGAGCAGGAAAGGGCTACACAAAGCCTACTGATAACTCATGATGTTTGCTGACACACACTGCAATTGTTTGTGCTCAAGCACAACAAAGAAGTCTTTAGCCCCCAAACTCCAAAAACGTGATTTGGTTTGGTGCACCGGGCATTAAGTGGCTCATGTAAGCTGAAGCACTATCTACAACACATATTTATTCAAGAACCAGCAAAAAACTGTAATTCGCTTGCCCGTCAGTGTACCATATTGACTGCAGAGTGGCGTTAGTTTAGACGAGAGGAAATACCGTTGCGTGCATGTGCACTATATTTTATGTGCAGTTTTCTGTGAACGTTTGGGGTGCGGATAGGCTAGAGCAACTTGCATCGTAGCCGTTCTTTACCCCTCATGGCGGGAGCTTCGAGCGACGCGGGCAAGGGAATGGGGGCACCATTTAGGGAGAACGCGTGTTAATTTGGGGTTGAGACTTGTATTGGGCTCGAAGCAAAGAGTCTCTCTAAGGCGATGCTACACGGAGATTGACAACACCTTTGTTCTAGTTCGTGCTCACCATTGCAACGTAGATTTCTATACTCCCAAAACATGCATACGCGTGCAAAATTTGCGCGTACACATGCGTACAGATATATAAATATACGTAGCGCTAGTCAAAAACAGAGAATTGTGTATGTACCGACCTGCATAGGCACTAGAAGCGCAAAGGTATCTTTCAATCTGCACTACCAGTGGAATTCACAAGGACCGTGGATGCATCTTCCATCTGACCGACTCTTCTTGTAAAGGACTTGTTGCATCAAATAGAGGCAGCGTCAATTCATGTATGTTGCCTGATCCTCCTTTTTACCGTTGGGTATTCAAAATTGCAGTATATCACATCGCCCTGAACCCCTTTTGTTTTCTTGGTGTTGATCAACAACAGGAAAGAATCTCTCGCTGTCAAATCTTTGGGCGAATGAACTGTACTTGCAGAGCCTTTTTGGAGTGAAAAATGAAATCATGTTGACTTTCAGCACTGATTGTGGTGGCATGGTATTAATATCCGCAGATCGATGCTGTAGCACTATCTGCTAGCAAGTTTGCGCTCTGCGGATTTCAGTAATTTGGATAGTGGAACCGATACACAAGCGCGCATTCAAGTCTGAATAACCTAAAGCTCAAATGTTGGAATACATAATATATTTCACTTAAAAATTTGTAGCATGTCTGCTAGTTCTCCTGCAGGATTGCTCCACAGAGAGACTTGCTTTACGCTCCATCGAAGGTCTGAGTAGGGAGGCACTCAAGATTTGATGCAAACATTAAGAAGTTACAGGTGTCCTTCAAAAGAACTTGCTCTTCTCCCAGAATGACTCCCATGGGGGGAAAAGAATAGCTAGGGTGTGCAACGGTATACTCTCTTAGTTGTACTTCAGCAACCTACAACGCAAATGCAAACAGCAGCACATCATGTTCTATTTGAGCTCAGGCGACTCCGCAATACATCATATTGAAAGGCTCCCCGTTGAGTCAAAGCTTCAGTAATTCTTAGCTACCGTAACAAGTGTAAAATGTTACTATGTCTTGAAGTGTAGCAACGCCCACTATACCTTTCCCCCTGATCGCCCCGCGGATTGCAGATATACGCCCTAGTGTTCTGTACCTCTCCATGAAAACCAACTGCATGCAGCACAGCAGAAGAGTTCCCGTCCCACCGCCGCTTCCGAGCAGGGCAGCACCTTGAAAGACGGTGCAAGTGAGAAAAACAAAGTGTGCAGCAATGGGTTTCAGGTAATCGACGGGAAGAAAGGCCCACACACAAGCCAACTAAAAGGGCTACGCAACAAATGAGGAGGGGCACAACAGCGCGGTGACACATTGTCGTTGGGGCTGAAATATGTGAGCCTCCTACTACGAGAAATAGAAAAGTAAAACGTGTGAAAAAAATCGAAACACAAGAGTTCAGCAGCGCCTCCTCGCCTCATAGAGGAATACTTGCATACCAATACAGCCGGCTCCTGCAGCGCAGTAATAAGGAAGAATGTACAGACAACATACCTGGAAGTGCCTGCGCAAGGAATCTGAGACTCGTAAACATCTTGGCAGCAGTAACTGGGAAAGTTTCGAGCGAAAGCCATAGACAAAGGTAACTAATTCAAGCAGAGTATGCTCTGTGAAGGAAAACGACAAAGAAACCCAGGAATATCGTCCATGGCAGCTACTCTTGTGAGCCAGACAGACCCCCAGAGTGGTTGCACTCCCTCCCCCCCAGCATGCACACAAACACACACACACACACACACACACACACACACACACACACACACGCATACACGTGTTCCTATGTCAAATCACTGCAGTTGGTGTTCCCCCCTCTTCTGATAGAAATTTTCGTTTAGTGTGCCCCCCCTGCACACTAAACCCCCCAATCCAGCACCTCTGCGGTTCCCTGTGGCTCCTCAACCTCCATGCAAGCACCATCCGCCTACTCAGCGGAGTCCGCGTTAAGCTGAGGGAGTTCTCACAGTGCTTTAGAAAGTCAGGAAAAATAATTTTGTAGCATATCTCACTTTTAGGGGTATCGCGCATTCGCAAAGTCTCTTATAATTGTCTATTTCTGCTGCTGCATGGCTGAAATCTTCATAAAGTTCGCCAGTAACGAACCATTTACAGAGCCACTAAAACAGAGTCCATTCTCAGAAAGGTTTTCTCTCACTGCTCTCCTAAGGTCCCCGCACAGTGACTCTGCCTCACCCTGGTGAGATTTAGAACTTATCTCTCTACCCATGGCTCAAATGTGCATTGCTAAGAACACCAGAAGCTACTTCTTCATATCGCTTTCTGGTGCAAAGCCTCCACAGCGCACAGCTGTGGCCGCATGTGTGGCTTGTATGAAGCCTCCCATGGCCTGCTTGGGATTACGTAATGGCGCACGGGTGTAACATGAAAACCACGGTTCACTCTTCTAGAACCCAGTTCAGACTTGAACCTCGCACTTTATCGCCAGCGTCTTGCTAATCTTTGCACTTTGCCGCCGTTCAGCAAACATAAAATTGAGGGACTACGCTACCAAGTTTGTAGATAGATTGCACTGCTGAGTGGTCTCCTCGGAAAACGAGTTTCCTTCACATCCGGTGCACGGTACCACTAGATATTCTTGGCCACTATTGTGAGATTTCATCAGCCCGCAGTTGATTCGTAGGTGGTGCTTAAATTCTGCCCTTTTCATGCCGTGCAGATGGGGGAGGCTTGGCGTTCCCTGAAACACCTTACTCACCATATAGCTTGCCTCCGGTGGACCCAGTCTCGCTGTTCGAGCTTTATGGCACTTTGTATGCGCAAGCACTCCAGCATAATACGAGTAAATATTCGACAACAAGAGCAGTTGAACTGTTGGGAGACTGTCCGTTAATGCTTAGGAGAGCGGGTTCCTTCTGGCTTTTTTTCCCGTTTGCCTTTTGACTCTCGACTAGGGCCACTTGACATGGCCCCGGCATCCACAAGTCCTAATTTCACCATTGAAAATTCATTCCAGGAAAACACGCAAGAGCTGCCTTATTCGCTCATAAGATTTTAAGAAATCCATCATCTATTGGAAACTTTACCATGCGACTTTTAGCAGTTCACTCGCTGCCCACTGTAGACATACCTAACGCGAAATTTCGGGTCGACTTGTGATGAATTATTGGTCATGCAGCTGGTCCGCTACATCGCGGCTTTTGCGAGCCAAAGTATCATATTCCTGGGGATACTCATTTGTTGGTATATTCCCCTGCTTCAGCTTTCTCAAATATCCCAAGGCTTGCTGTTGAGTTGCTCTCAGCTAAACAGAGGAGACAGGGCATTCAAGAACGCGTGAACTGCAGTAAACTCTGCAGGAAACGACCTCCTGTGCATGCCTAGGGACACCAACGAGATCCTTCTTACTCCAACAAGAATGTTTACCAACGGGCAAAATATAAAGCGAGGTATATATCTCCAGATGTCTGAACACTGAAACCTCTTCAAGTTTTCCTTCACCCCCACAGCCGTCGTACTTTTCTGGTTCTCATAGGCTTACCGATGCATCTTCTATGAACATTACATTATATGACACATAGAGTCCTTCTACAGCTGTGTAGCAGCTGCGTTCTCACCAGCTTGTTTGTTGGCCTCTGTCGCCTCAACAAGACTTGTGCCACCGTCAACATGCATAGCCGAAGAGCCATTTCTTCAAATTGGTCCCCAAGGGATCCGAATTGCAGAATTAGCAAATGACTCTTTTGATCGAAACCAGAAAACTATTGCAGAGAAACCATATATCTTGCCGCATCTACCCCTATGGTAAAAGTGGACAACAGATGCATTGAACTACGCGGTGCTCCCAACTGTATTTCTTATTCTAAGGCCTTTGTATGGTCGTGCTTGAATCTAGGCTCAATACCCATTTGACACTTATTGCACAATTAAAAGGACTCCCACCTTCCGCTGACCGCCCTGTTGGTAAAAAAGGGACAGCTAGGATACGCGTAGTTGCCCTCTCTAAAGCACTCTAAGCAAGCACAGCTAGGTGCATGCAGCGTGTACCACATCTGTATACAGCATCGCGTCTTGCTGTATCGCGCCCGTAGTGCTCTGCAATAAATGAACTGTACCTACAGATGGACCGATTTGTCGATCTTTTCGTTTTCCTTTGTAGTAGATTACGTGTACCAGAAAGTGTTGAAGTGTGGCATAGCTCTTTGCAGCCATAGAGTGCGCAGTGCACCGTGTGCGAGAAGGTTGCAGGAAGCTCCCTGTGGAACTGATCTCAGTGCCTCGCAGCTGCACAGTACCTCGCAGCTGCACAGCGCCTCACAGCTACACAGTGCCTCACAGCTACACAGTGCCTCGCAGCTGCACAGTGCCTCACAGCTACACAGTGCCTCGCAGCTGCACAGTGCCTCGCAGCTGCACAGTGCCCCTTTTCCGTTCTGATTAGCCTCAAAGAAGGCCTGCGAGCTACCCATCGGCGGGGTGAGCCCCCAAAGCCGGTGCGCCATGCTGAGTTGGATGCACTCAGGCAGGAGGAAGTGCGTTTATTGGTTTATTTAAGCGGAGAGAAGTGCCTTCCAAGAACAGCAAAGCGCCCTAAGAAAGCCTTAGCTCAAGAAGGGCATTCACTCCCCCGCGTGTCTTGCTCTTCGCCCTCCAGCATTGCGATTTGGAGGGGCACCGAGTGAGTGCGGGCGCTGCAGTCCGGTGCGCCAAGGAACTCTCTGCGGTGAGGAGATGCCTGTCAGCTCGCCTACACTGCATTTCGGCTCAATGCCTTCGTTTTTGATGAACTACAGCTCTGGAAGGCAACGGAGCACTGTAGACGCTGCAAGGTTCCCGAGGATTCTCTCTCCCCCGCTGAGCACTGCATGTGCCGGGGCTGGTCGGAGTACCTCCTCTGCCAGCGCAGTCCGACCACGCGCTCCCTCCTGCAGGCGTAGACACTCTCTTGAGGAATTTTCTTGGCTTTTTTGCGTAGCTACAGCGACAGCTGCAGCAGCATCAGGGGGGCAGCACGAGTTCCGCTGTAGCGGAAGTGCCGCCGACCGCAGCCGACAGCCCGCCTCTGCCTTCCCCGCCTCGCAACAGAAGCAGCAACTGCCATCGCTCTCGCCGTATTACACGAGCTCTAAGGCTTCTCGAAGCCTTGGATGACGCTTAGCCTCCGAGCTCTTGCTGCTTGCCGCACTGGAGGGTGACGGCCTCTCGAACTGGGAAGCGCGCGCCGAGCTGTCTGTACACCTCGCGCGCCCGCAGCTGCACAGTTCTGCCTGATCCGCAACACAAGGCAGCTGCAGTCACCTCTAACTGGCGCTGTCGCCTCCTCATGCATGACTTTAGCAAACCATTGCAGACACTGCATTGGTGGCAGCCGCAGTAGCAGCTGCAGCTCGGCAGGTGCAAGATCCCCCGCTCAGTCGGTATGCATGATCCCATAGGCCAGCCACAGGGCTTGCTCCCCCACCAGGTACTGCAACAGCAGCAACAGCAGCAGCAGCAGCCTCGGCTTCTCCCGCACGGACTCGTGCAGGAGGCTGCGTCTCCCTTTGGCCTACATGCTGCGCTTCAGCTGCTGCCGCACCAGCAAGTGCTGCAGCAGCAGGAGCTGCCTCAGATGCAGGAGCTGCCTCAGGAGCAGCAGCAGCAGCAGCAGCAGCAGCAGCTGCAACAACGTGATCAGAAGCACGCACATTTGCGACACCTGCAAGAGCAGCAGCTGCGGCTGCTTCAGGTGAGGCGCATGCAACGCCACGTGGAAGACCGCCAGCGGCAGCTACAGGAGGAGCTTCGGCACACTCAACACTCGCGCCAACGCGTGCAGCAGCAGCAGCAACAGCAGCAACAGCAGCAGCAGCAGCAGCAACAGGCTGCAGATACATCACAGCGTGCGCGATGTCTGGCAGCGGCTTCGACGGCTACGCCCTCTTCGCCTGGCTGGGGTACGATGATGTCTTCAGGGCAGCAGTGCCTTCTGCAGCAGAAGCAGCAGCAGCAGCTGCTGCAGTTTCATGAGCTCTCGCAACAGCAGCTACACATGCAACAGCTGAAACAGCAGAAGCTTCCTGCCCCCAACACTCACCAGCTTCCTCAGTCTCAGGAAGCCTTTGGCCGCCTCACGAGGTCTGTGCGGCAGTCAGCCACTGACATGCAACAACAACTGCAGCAGCAACACGAGCAGCTGCAGCAGCTGCAGCAGCACCAACAAGGACTACATCATCAGATATCGAACGCGCAAAAGCAGCAGCAACATCAACTACGGCTGCAGCAGCAACAGCTGCAGCAGCAGCAGGAGCAGCAGCAACAGCTGCAGCAGCAACAGCTGCAGCAGCAAATGCTGCTGCAACACCAAACCAACCAACGCGAGCAGCAGGGAGAGCAACAGCTAGCGCAGCGGGAGCTTCTGCAGCTGCATTCGGAAGAGCAACAAGCGCATTGCCTACCGGAAGCCAGACATACTTACTCTGATGGCAATGCGACAGCTGAACTTGCAGCTCGCATAGACACCGTAGCTGCAGCAGCAGGCCGTAACAATTGGCTGCCTCAGGAGCTTCCCAGGAAGCATCAAAGCCACCTGCGCACTGCTGCAGTGTCAGCAGAGCATAAAAAGCTGCTGCTGCAGCAGCAAGACCAACACGAGCAGCTGCAAAAGCAGCAGAAGCAAATACGGCAGCAGCAACAATGTCACGCGCGGCAGCAGGAGAGGTTGCTGCTGCAGCAGCAACAAGTGCAGCAGCAACAAGTGCAGCAGCAACAGGTGCAGCAGCAACAAGTGCAACAGCAACAAGTGCAACAACAGCAACAGCACGTGCAGCAGCAACAAGTGCAACAACAGCAACAGCACGTGCAGCAGCAACAAGTGCAACAACAGCAACACCAAGTGCAGCAACATCAACAACAGCAACAACACCATCAACAGCAGAGAGACGATAAGGAGACGCATTCCAATAATGCTCACCGCCTCCAACAACAGCCTCTCCAGATGCTTGCCCAGTCGCAAGCGCAGGAGCAGTCTTTGCAGTTGCTGCCAGAGCAGCAGCAGCAGCAGCAGCACGACGAAGAAGATCAAGAGTCTTTCCAAAAAGCACAGCAGTCGCAGCCGCTAGGAGGAGGGACGGTGCGTGCATCATCTTCTGTCAGAGTTGACAGAGATGAGATTCCTATACGCGCAACAGCGGCACAAGCCTTCTTCCAGCGGCTGCTACAAGAAGATGCTGTGCTTCGGAAGAAGCAGCAAGAGGGGCAGCAGCAACAGCAACAGCAGCAGCAGCAAGGCGATCAAGCAAGGCAGCAGCAGCAGCAGCGAGGTAGCCGGCAACACCAGTTGCAAAACGTCAAAGTCGCGGAGGCTGGACAGACACGGCGGGAGGTGTCTGTAAATCGCTCTGCCCCTGTGCCAGCGACAGCGGCAGCTTCAAGCTCTCTAAGCTGCTCCCGCCAGCAGCAGCAGCAGCAGCAGCAGCAGCAGCGCTCCTCTCAGCAGCAGCAGCAGCAGCAGCAGCAGCAGCAGCAGCCGCACAAGTCGTCTCTCGGCAAGGGCTCCTCTGCGCCTTGCGCTGTGAGTGCAGCCAGCAGTGGCAGCACCAGTTACTTGCCTGCTGATTTTTTGGAGGTGAGAAGGCGAGACGAATGTCGAGGCTAGTAGCTACAGAGGGGCAGCACGTCTGCTTTGCATGCGAGGCTCTCTCGCAGGCAGGCACGTTGGAGGCTGATGCTCCGTTGCTGCTGCATGATGCGTTTTTGCGCAGGATTTCGATGCTCCACCCAGTCTGCGGTTTGTGGCAGAAGTGCTGCTTCCCCAGCTGCAGCAGGAGAGCAGCAAAGCAGACTGGCGACAGCAGACGCAGGCTTTGCTGAACCTCCGCAGAGTTGCGAAGTTTCATGTGCAGCTCTTGACCCCTGGTGAGTTGCCAGTGTTTGTCTGCGCTTTCTTCTTCCCGTCTCTCGCTTCGCGTGCTTGCTGTCTACAGTTGGATTTAAAGCAGGGGGGTGGGGTGGGGTGGGGTGGGAAGAAGAAGAGGAAGGTGATTTGGGGGAAGAAGAAAGGAAGGTGATATGGGAGGGGTAGAAAGGCCTTTTTGACGCCAAAATACCACCCTCTCTGCGATCTTTTCGATTGTCACTGCCGTGAGTGTTCCCATGCCTAGACATGCGTTTTTCGTTCGGCATGTGCTCCGTTGATGCGACTCCCGTGCAAGAAAGAGATCCTGCTGCCGCTGTTTGCAGAAACTATGCGGCGTCTATGTAGCGCTGTACTGGCACTGCTGAATTCTCCTCGAAGCTCTCTGGCGAAAAATGCTGCAATCACCCTAAGTGACCTCTTCGCCTTCGGCAGAGGGAGGACGGTGAGACCAGTCCCCCCGCACCAATATACATATATATAAAGAGACATACATATATATATAAATATGTCTCTTTCTTTCTCTCGAGGCATTTGCAGCTCTGCTGCAATCTCAAAGCACCTGCTGTTCTTAGAGAGGCAACGTGCCCTTTGTGAGCAGTCGAGGTTTGTGTGTATGGCTGCCTATCTGGTTCTCTCGCTTGCCTTTTTCTGCAGGATGCTGCAGTTGCAGAAGTCATCGATGTTTGTCTGAAGAAGGTAAATGGGCAGCTGATACTCTTACTGCAATGCAACTCTTACTGCAGTGCAACTCTTGCTGCAATGCAACTCTTGCTGCAATGCAACTCTTGCTGCAATGCAACTCTTACTATAATGCAACTCTTGCTGCAATGCAACTCTTACTACCATGCAACTCTTACTACAATGCAACTCTTACTGCAATGCAACTCTTACTGCCATGCAACTCTTACTGCAATGCAAATCTTGCTGCAATGCAACTCTTGCTGCAATGCAACTCTTACTACCATGCAACTCTTACTACAATGCAACTCTTGCTGCAATGCTACTCTTACTACAATGCAACTCTTACTGCAATGCAACTCTTACTGCCATGCAACTCTTACTGCTGGTGTGTCTGTGGTAATCGACTTCGTTTGGCGTGCCCGCTTTTGAGGCAGCAGCTGCAGGTTGCTATTGTTGCCACGAGCGCTATCTGAATTATTGCCACTGCGTCTGGCTGTAGGGGGTTTCTTTCTGCTCCTTTTGAATGCTTCCCTGAATCTGTAGCTCCTGCTCTTTGCTTTCGCTTCATCTGCCGCTTGGCAGCTGCAGCAACGTCTCTTATGAGTTCTGTATTTCTTGACGCTGTTTCCAGTGTGTCTGTTAAAGTAGCAGTCTCTCCACCCGTGCTGGTAACCGGACTGCCCTACTTTTCAGTCACGTCTATCTTCGCGGGGAAGGCTCCGCATCATCCTTTTCGGCTAATTTTTGCATTTGTTTTTGCCCCTCTTCCATTCAGCAGACGGCAGAGTTGCCTGCACCCATGGCGCCTTTTTTTCTAAGCGTCCTTACACCTCTCTCTCTCTCTCTCTGTGTGTGTATGTCTGTGTATGTCTGTGTGTGTTTGTGTGTGTGTGTCTGTGTGTGTGTCTGTGTGTGTGTTTGTGTTTGTGTGTGTGTGTGTGTGTGTGTGTGTGTGTGTGTGTGTGTGTGTGTGTGTGTATCTGTGTATGTCTGTGTGTCTATCTCTCTGTCTGTCTGTCTATCTATCTATCTGTCTGTCTGTCTGTCTCTCTGTAAATATATACATATATATATATATATGTGTATATGCCTCTTTGCGTTTCTGCTTGAATGCGCAGAGCTGTCAGTCAGTAGAGTTCTTGGCGGAAGCAGCTCGTGCAGTGCTGCATTCTGTCTGCTGCTTCGCTTCGGAAGGCAGGACCTTTTCTGCCTTTTGCACCGCTACAGCGAATGCGTGCGTTGTCTTCCTCCTGCGTCTATGGTTGCTGCCACTATTGCTGCTCTCTATTTCTGCTTTTCTTTCCTCCCTTCTACTGTCTTGCCTGCTATCCCTCCCCCCCTTCCCCCGAGCGATTGCCGCTTGTGGTGCTGTTGTTGCTGTTGCTGAGACTATTTAGAGGTGCCTTGCGCCCAGCTCTCTTTCTGTGCGGTTGTTGCAGGAAACACCAGGGAGCTCGCTGTGTTGGCGTGAGCTGTCTGGCGTTTTTAATCGACAAATATCGAAGACGGCCTCCTGATTTGATGCCGCTGCTGGAGCTGTTGCTGCAGGTGGGTGAGGAGGGAAGGGGGGACAGAATAAGCGGGGATAAGAGGGGGGAGGGGGGAATAAGCGAGGGGGAGTTGAGACTCCGCCTGTTGGGTGTGCAGCTAAGAACGCCTGTTGGGTGTGCAGCTAAGAACGCCTGTTGGGTGTGCAGCTAAGAACGCCTGTTGGGTGTGCAGCTAAGAACGCCTGTTGGGTGTGCAGCTAAGAACGCCTGTTGAGCAGCTCGTTTTACAGCTTTGGCGCTGTCTTCTGCTGACACCTGTCTGTTGCGCATTGCTTTCTTGAAGGAAGCTCAACATGTTCTTCGTCGGTTGCTGTGGGAAAGGTTTAAGCTGGTGATGCATTTAAGAAAAGTTTCCTTGTGTTCTGAGGCGTCGTGTGCAGACTTCTAGCGAGGCCTCCTCCGAGCTGCGGGCTGCTTCCCGCGTTGCCTTATGGCTGCTGCTTGAGTAGGGTGCTAAAGCTGCAGCTGGGTAGCTCATGTGTGCTCGCGTAATATGTGCATTTGTCTCGATTGTGGCAAAGGGCAGGGAGAAAAGGGATGGAGAGAAGGGAGAAGAGGCGTTCCCGAGGTTTTTGAGGCTTCTGTTTGAACGTGTTCCTTTTTTTCCGTGATGTGCAGCGTCACGGATGCTTCGGACTGGCGTGGCATTGCTCCTGAGCAGCTGAAAGCGGTAAGTCGAGCAGCCGTGTGCTTCAACGCGGTGCCCCTCCCTTCCCTCTGTCTACGGTCTGTATGTACAGCATCTGCGGCGGGGGAAATTTTAGGAGCTGCCTGCCATGAATTTAGGGGCTTTTCTAGAATCGTTTTGAGGGTAGATGGGGGGAGGGAGGGAGAGGGAGAAAGGGGAAACAAAGGCTGCTTTTCTTCTCAGCAGCCTTTGTTTGCCAGCGCTTCGGGTCGTTGTTACCAACGGCGGTGCCTTTCTTGAGTGCATGCGTTGCTCTTCGACGTTCGCAGACGAGGAGTGCAGCATCCCGTGTGACAGAGGTTGAGCTTTCGCTTGTTCTGCAAAACGTTTGCTGCTGTTCCCTCATAGATGCCGAGCCAAAGGGTAGGCCAGCCAGTCCCCTGAGCCTCATTAAGAGCACCCCACACAAAAAAATTGCCGTCGATTCGGCTGCACACTGCACGCGCATTTATCTCCGGGGCAGGAGAGAGAGGAGGCATCGCGCGAGACGATAAAATACACGGACTGCCTAATAGTTAGACTGCAAACGGAGGAAGCGTGCTGCAGTAGAAGCAGCGGCTTCTGCCACAGTTTCTAGTTCCGTTTCTTCATGTGTAGCCCTCCCCCGCGGCGAAGGCTGCATGCAATTTGTGTTTACACGGCAAACGCAACTGTCAAAACACATGGGGCCTGTCCGCGAATACGGATGGCTATGCGTTTCGGGGTGAATGGGGGGGGTGGGGGGAGGGGAAGGCTGTTTGTCCACTGCGCGCTTTTGCAAGTGTCATGATGAATGTTTTTGTTTCCTCCCCCCCCTTCCTCACCTTACTTTTCATGCTAAATATGCTGCCCTTCCCAGGCGCTCTCCATGCTGCTTATAGGCCAGTCAATGGGTGGCACAATGGCGAAAAACTTGTCTCTCTTTGCACATGCTTGTTTCTTGGGAGTCGCCCTCTTGCTGATCGGTGCTATATATATATACATATATATGTATATATTTATTTATGTATATATAGCCTACCTGCTCCTCTACGCTTTTTTGCGCGTTGCAGCGCCGCACGGGAGAGGCACCGCAAGCTCGTCACCTAGTTTTCGATGAGAAGATCATCGAGATATCCGAGAGAGAAGCGAGTAAGAGGGCACTGCAGAAGATGTGATGTGGGCGACACATGCACAGCGGACAGCCAAGCATGCGCAGCTACGCTAGAAGTGTGCGCGATAGAACGCGCACAATGTTGGCACTTGGCTCGCTTGACACCGTGGACGTCCCCCTTCTTTCACGCCCCCTTCCTGCCTCCTTTCTCGCCAAAAAAAAACTTTTTCACCCCGCGTACGCAAATAGGCGTAATCGACCACTCCTGCGAAGGGCTGAGACAGACCATACGTAGCGTACTGCAGACGCCAAGTCGGGGAGCACCCCTTCGCACGTGACAAAATGAGGCGTAATAACGACCCTATAGACATTGTCACGATGCAATTCAAAACCGATTTCAGTTATTTGTTTCGCGCATAGGAGACAGTCAAAGCGCTTCAAAAATCGGTCTCTCGAGGCATCTATCTCCGGTGCCTCGAGAGCAGACACCACCTACCTAGGCCTTCTCTGCCCTCCTCCCTCTTATACTCCCCATGTATGGCGGCTGCATGCGGAAAACGCGGGCTTTAAGAAGGTCTGCCTGAGCGTCGCAGCCCTCGCTGTGCAGCCGCAACACTAAAGTCTGCCGGCGCACACACGTGCACACGTGAGCGGCGAGCTATTTTTATCACACAAAAGAGTGCAACGAGAAAAAACAAAGGCAGTCTAACGACAGAGCACCCCTCTGCGCACGGATACAAAAAACGCGGGGAGGTGGTACGAGAGACCCCCGCCCCCCCACACGCCAAGGCAGCAGTCCAACGCCGCCTTCCCTCAAATTCACCTTTTACAAGGCATCTCGCCAGCCTGTCTGTGTTTACCCCTACTTGCGCGGCGGCCTCCTTCACGTTCGTGAAGAGCTGCGCGTTTGCATACTTCTACGCACATTGCTGCCTACCTCTATATATATTTAGGGTGCCACAGACGTTGAGAAACCCATGAAACCACACACTGCATGCGCGCGTGTGGAGTTCGCATGTGTAGGCTTCATAACCACTCGCCACCATACGTGAGGGCTGCATAGGTGGAGAAGCGAGAGCGCGCAAACGCACTGATAGTCCGGCGCACTGGCAGCGAGGCGACAGGAACAAGCCGATGGCTGTTAAACGCATGCAGCCAGGAGGGCAGAGGAAGCAGCTCGGCGCCCCTCTGGTAACATTATGCGCAGCACGTCTGCCGTCACGTCACGAGTGCCTCCCGCCTCCGCAGTGGACTCTATGCCTTGAGACTGACTCTCTTTCTTGGCTGCTGTCTACAGGGAGGTGCGAAGTGACCCCTCTGCAGGCAAGGGGTGTGGTGTAAGGCCCTCGCCGCCTCGTCAGAAGGCGCTTATTTTTTGAGGAAATCCCTGCTTTCTCATCCCTCCCTACACATTTAGGTACTATGTCGTTTAAAATGCATCTATGTACGTGCTGCAGAGGGACGCTGCCCAGCGTCTCCTCTGCTCCGTCCTAGACGGCTTTTTCTTGCAGTTACGACAAGTGCGCGCGCTGCAGCGGCTCACCCCCCATTTCGCCGCCTGCTCACTAGCGAGTTCGTGTGTTGGGGGGTGGGTGGGTAATGC